AAGGTGGTCCCGTATGTCCAAGTTTTAGGTCCAGATCAGCAGAGATGCACCCTCACTCTCTTAGGAAAGCGTCGCTTCCTCCGCCCCTCTTGCCGGCGCATGGAGAGTCCTTTCCATTCGCAATTTTTTTTTGGTTTTTCTTCCTTCTCTATGACGATTCTAGATCTATCTTCATCTTGGTGTTTGGAGTTCGTTTTGGTTTCTGCTCAGATCTCCTCCCATTTTGGTTAGTTTTGTGATCTGTTTTGCTTGGTTTCTAATTTTTTGTGCGTGTCAATGGATACTTCTGTCTTTGCTACTTCTTATGAGACTCTAGCGTCCTCCATATCGAACCCACCTATATCTACCAATAATATTCTTTCTTTATTGAGTGTGGATAAGTTGGATGGCTCGAATTATGACTCTTTGTTTTCAAATCTCCAACTTTGTTTGGATAGGCAGAATTATACATCTCATCTCACTACCAAGGCTGAATCTGTTGTAGCTGTTGAATGCACACACTGGAAAATGATTGATGCTCATTTGTGTAGTCTTATCAAGGCCACTTTTCACCCCTTTAATGAGCAGATCTATCGACCTGTAAATACTTGTGAGGCTTTTTGGTGTCAGGCAAAGGCCTTGTACACCAATGATATGCAACGACTCTATGGTGTGTGTCAAAAGCTAATGTCTACCTTTGTTTCTCGTAATTTTGATTGTCCTATGTTTGAGTACTTGGGGAAAGCTCAGAGTTTACTTCATGATCTCAATGAACTACTGCTTTTTACTGATGATGTTGCTCAGGAGCGGGAACAATGTAGTACTCTTTTTGTGGTGTTGATTCTATATAGTTTACCTCTATTTTTGTCTGCCAATCTGGATCAAATTTTGGGGTATGCTACTGTTCCTACATTGGATTCTGTGATGTCTACTTTGCTTAGGATTCCACATAAGCTCTCTAAAGCATCAACACCCGTTATGCCTAATGTCTCTCCGGTTGACTCTTTTGGCCCATGGTCAGTTACTTTGCACGCATTGTCATCAAACCAATCATACTGTTAACTATTGTTGGAAGCTCCATAGCAAGTCACCTCAACCTCCTCGAACTGCTCATATTGCGTAGGCTCCTTCTATTGATCCTGATTCAAGGTTGCCTTCTGCACCACAACCTCCTGCAATTTTTTTGAATGAATTTGTGACCTGATGGTCTAAGAAGCAAGCATCTAGTTCTACTGCCTTTATTTCTCCATCTGGTAATTATTTTACTGGATCTCTTAGTTACAATCTTTAGGCCATTGGACTATTGATTATGGGGTTTCTGATCACATTTGTAGTAATAAGTTTTTATTCATCTCTCTTTGTACTACTGGTTCATTCCCTACTATTACTATGACCAATGGGTCTTTGATCCAATCCTGTGAAATTGGCACGATTCTTCTCTTTCCCTCTTGATCATGTTCTCTATGTTCCTGATTGCACTTTTAACTTACTTTCCATTAGCCGTTTGACTAAATCCATTGATTGTGTGATTTCCTTTATTAAAACTTCTGCCATTTCGCAGGATCGAAGTTCGGGGAAGGTGATTACCAGAGGATGTGTGTAACACCCCGTGTATACCCGGTTTGTTAACATGTCATCGTATTAAGCTACGCTTAATTTTAAAATGCGAAATATCTTTTTCTTTTCAATTATGACATCATTATCATTACCAACTTGATTACTTAATCATTTTTCAAAACATCGCCTGTATGTAATTGCAAATAGACAGCTAACTGAAATACCTCAATATATAAATAACATAAATATGTCTCTAGTCACGAAACTACAACACGTAGACCGAACAAACTCTGATAGTTTATACATCCCAAACTAAAAGTACTAACATTAATGTGGTATGGACAAACCCCATGCTCAGCAAATAAGGCAACAAAGCCCAACATAGTCTCAACTCAACAACAACATAAGGGATACAGGCTAAACAACAATCCATAAACATAAGCGGGAAAACATAAACAGCAGTCAACTAAGCTCCGGCCTCCTGCCGCTAGAGGAGTCAACCCCCGCATTACCTGAACCTGAAAATATGCCCCAAACGTGGGGTGAGATCTCTAAAAAGAAATCTCAGTAAGACAAGGGGTCTTCAAGGACTCTCCCGCCTCAAGCTCACTTACAAGCATAATATAAGTTCAAAACAGTAATTGCAATGCATGTTCAGGTTAAGCATATAAATCATGACAGTATAATCTCTTGCTCAACGAGCTAAACATTTAACTCAGTAATCATGTGATGTATGTAAATGCGGTTCAATTGGCCAGGGAACATGATAGGGATTATGCACGTCTGCGACCCATCTAACATAAGAGTCGCAGTCTTATGCCTTACACACCAGAGTCGCTGTCTGATTGCGTAAGTAACGACATCATATTCACACACTACATGTCTTACACACCAGAGTCGCTGTCTGATTGTGTAAGTAACAACATCATATTCACATATCTTAGGCATATATCATGCATATAACATTTTCATAAAAGCATCCCATGCATATAAACCACCCTCCCATGGAGGTCGGTGGAACAAACAACAGACTAATCTGAGGACACGAAAGCTTACCTTGCAAGCTAACAATCCAAACCAAGAGTCCACACAAGCTCAAGGCCCACAAACAACACAATCACAATTTGTTTATACAATAATTAATCATTAATAATCATTGCTCAAGGTTCTATAAGTGATTAAGGCTTTCTAACTCATTTTAAGTTATTTCATGCTATTTCTAGAGGAGGTATTCGAATACTCCACGAGTAGTATTCGAATACTCCAACTCTCCAGAAAGTATTCGACTACTTTCACTTAAGTATCTGAATACTTTCCCCCCCAGTATTCGAATACCACAGTATCCGAAAATCAAACCTCACTGTATTCGAATACTTTCCAGTATTCGAATACTTTTTCAAAGGTATCCGAATACTTTTCTTCCCAGAAAAGTATTCCAATACTCCTACAAGGAGTATTCGACTACCAGTTTAAAACTACAGTTGAAAATATTTACCAAATACTCTAAGATTTTAATATGTTAAACTAGACATCTTAAGCTTTCCAACGACATATTTTGTGTCTCAATCGAAGTTGTATAACTCCGGTTATGATTTTTGCAAAGTTCCTACAACAATTGAATTTCCGGCAATAAGGTCGCGAATTAAAACATAAACTGAGAGCAATCCACTTATCCAATGGATCTGAAAATTTACAGGTTTGTATCCCTATATGTTAGCTTCACATAGGTTCAAACGTAACTCAATTTAGAGCTCTGTAGCTCAAGATATCAAAATTTTACTAGACTAGGTCGTTGCTGTCTCGCGAAGTATTCGATTATTGTATTTTTACAGGAAATATTCGAATACTGCCCGAAAAGTATTTGAATACTTCTTCGACAGAATGCAGAAAACTGAGTTTTAAAGGTATAATTGACCTCCAATGATCCAAACTCGATCTGGAGTCCAAGAACTCCTTAAACAGATGTTTATTAACATGCTTAGGACTCATAAACACATTCCTTTATTCAATTGATCAAAGTTTTACTTTTTAACCGATTAAACAAGCTTAAAATCATCAAAAGACAAAGAGGTGTTCATGGTGTACCTCTAAGCTCCAAAAATCCGAAAATGAGACACCATAAGGGTCCTCAACACAGCACCAAAGTTCAGACTTAGGCAAGACACAAATTTGACCACCAAGCTTGGTCCTTTAAGCCAAAAGATCACTTCTTGGCACCACAAAAGTCATGAACAAAGCCTCCACTAAGGTAGTTCACAAACTCAGCTCCAAGTAACACAACTCAGAAGCTAAACTCAGCAATAAGGTGTCTTTCGTCCCCACAATGTATACTCTCAAGTGCACACAAGATGGAAGAGGAAGAATCAAAATGAAATGCTAAGACTTGGTTGGTTTCAAGGGAGAAAGCTCAAGTTTGAAAGGGAACAAGCAATGGAACAGTACCAAGGCTGATCAGCCTCCAAAGGTCACGTAGGAATAGAAATTTCCTAGGGTTTTGAGCCCAAAAGTTATATTTATAGGCACTTAAGCTTTAAATACACAGTATTAACAATAATAGCTACGCTTAGCATTTTAATCCCAAATTTAAGATTCTAAACCTACTCAATTTTACAAGATTTATCATATTTTTATATTAATTTTCGCAGCACATTTCCGGTACGCGCTTTTACGTAGCCAATATCAGTTCTGGCACCAGTTCTCATTATTTTAACTTGAAACTTGAAATCACAGTCCTACATAATTCTAGGAATATTCATGCACTTATTATAATTTTCCGGGATACTTTATCGGTACGCATTATACCGAGTAGCAGAACCGGTATCTGTACTTTTCGTCAGAAAATTGACTTTCAGCATTATTACTCACTTACTATAATTATTAAAGCCTCCTACTAATTATTATGGTCAATTATGGAATTATTTCCTAATTTCTCTTAATCAATTAATTAACTTCCTTAATTAACAGTGCAGGTTCTTACAATGTGAGTCTCACGGTCTTTATCAAATTTTCCCTTTTTCTTTAGCTGCTCTACTGTGGATTCTTCCTTCACTATCCATGCATGTTTGGGTCATCCAAGTATCGCAGAGCTTCAGAAGATGGTGCCTCACTTATCTTCTCTTTCTAGTTTACGTTGTGATTCATGTCAGTTTGGAAAACATATTCGCAGTACATTCCCAAGTGGTCTTAGTCGAGCTTTCCCCCCTTTCTCTTTGGTCCATTCTGAAGAGGGAGCTGCTTGGCAAAATATGGGACCCCAGACTTTTAAGGTTTAAGGAAGAGGAAGCCGCCTTGAAGGAAACCCTGCAACACTTCATTCAAGAGTTCGAGCGGAGAAATGAGGAGTGGAGAAGGCAGTACACTAGAATGGAATTCAAATTTCGAGACATAGAACGACACCAAATCCAGCTCTGGACATCTTCAAGAAGCTACAAGTCAACATTCCTTTCGCAGAAGCCCTGGAAAGCATGCCGAACTATGTGAAGTTCATGAAGGACCTTCTATCAAGGAAATGCAAGTTGAAGGAATGCGAAATAGTAGCCCTGACAGAGGAGTGCAGTGCAATCATCCAGAAGAAACTTCCTCCCAAGCTGAAAGATCCAGGAAGCATTAGTATTCCTATAGCCATAGGAAATATTGAAGTAGGGAAAGCATTATGTGACTTGGGAGCAAGCATAAACCCGATGCCACTGTCCATGTGCAGAGCTCTTGGAATAAAAGAGCTCAAGCCGACTACAGTTTCTCTCCAGTTAGCTGACAGATCGATCAGACGACCAGATAGGGTAATTGAGGATGTTTTAGTTAAAATTGACAAATTTATTTTCCCTGCAGATTTTGTAGTTCTGAATATGGAAGAAGACACCGAGATTCTCCTACTACTTGGAAGGCCATTCTTAGCCACCGCAAAGGCAATGATTGATGTGGAGCAAGGAAAATTGATGCTAAGGGTGAACGAAGAAACAATCACCATTGACGTCTTCGAATCAATGAAACATCCAACAGATGGAGGAGACTGTTTTATGATAGACATAATACAAGAAGCAACTGATGATGCTATGAAAAAGACCATTAGAAACCCAAATAAAGCATTTTTTGGGTGCCCCAATTTCAAGGTAAGGTATTTTTGTTGCATGCGTTCTTTGTTTAATTTGAATGTTATTAACATTTGATTTAATTTGGTATTAGGAAAAGAAGCCACACTGCAACTTTTTTACATGGGTGGATGATGCTACATCTGATACCATGGAGCTGGAAGATTGGAGAATTAATAAGCTGGAGTTGAATGTAGCTAAAACAGAATTCAAGTTGAACTTTGTGGACATGAAGCTCAATGATGAACTGCAGCTGGAGGTGAATGACCACAAAAAGAAGATTAATGAGCACCATATAAAGATTGATGAACTATCAGTGAAGATGCAGGAAGAGTTTGAAAGGGTGGAGAAGGAAATTAAGCATGTGTGTAGGTGTGCTAGGGTGTTTGCTGGATCCATTATTGTTGTGTTTGTAATATGTATATATCTTGCAAGTAGGGTGGAGTGAAATAAAAAATGTGGTTCTATTGAGATTTTCTGGTGTATATACCATTACATGTTGTAACAATTTTGGAATGTAAAGATTTATAATGGAAGGACCACTGTTGAAATATAATGACATGTTGTTCTGCAATGTATATGGCTTGGCTTATGTATTTGAAGTTATGTTAAGAGGCATACAAAGTGTTGTATAAACTTGATGCAAATAAAAAATATTGGAAACAATGTATGAACACTAAAGTAAGAATGTGATGGTGTGAATTATGCAGAAGTTAATTGTGTTAGTCATGACTAATATCAGCATGAATAAGGGGAAATGACATTTCTGGTCTGTTAATAGCAAATGTACATTCTTGTTAACAGAACTTTAGCAGGGACTGAAAAGGGCCCCCGATAAAATTGTTAGGGACCACAACGGACCTATGAGTTAGAAAACAAGGACCAAAAAGTCCTCGATAGAAAATGTTGAGGACTTATAAGGGGACTTAATTGCTGATGGTTTACAAGTGCAGTGAAGGTACATATGACCCATAAAAGGACACAACAAACAGAACAAAAATACTATTGTTGATAGAAACCATAAAGTGTATCAGCAAACAGATGGTGTGGACCAAAATTTAAAAATTGTAGCATTGAATACATTAATGACAGCAAAGACAGATAGTAAGCAAACATTTTGCATTCATTTCATCACATCCTAGTTACAATTACTAACCATGGCCAACATGCCATAGTCATACAAAAAAAATTTCCACTGACATATTTTGATGAAGGCCACTACATATGTGTTCCAAAAAAACATAATGCTCCTACTAACTATGGCCATAATAAGAGGCATACAAAAATTGGCCTAATGACATATTTCAACAGGGCCAATACCGAAGTATTTCCAAAAAAATACCCTTATTACAATTCCAATCAATTCCTATATCAGAGGCATCCAAAAAATGACCTAATGTCAGTGATTACATAGTATTCCAATCAATTTTGTGGGGCTGGTCTTGGTTGCTTGAACCTTGGTGTAGACATGAAGCTCATGAATCTGGCCCTGGTGCCACTACTTGCTGCAGTTACTGTCTCATTGGTCACAACCACAATAGGATTGCATAGAGGTGGGCTGCTGCCTCTTGGTGCTCTTGAACTTGGTTGAGCCTCAGTTGTTGCATGCTGGCTGCTTGTCTCTGGTACAGGGCATCCTTGACTCATGACTATTTCTTCAACTATCCTTGATTGAATTTAAACATTAACTGGTTTTTGCTTTGACCTTGAAGGAGCTGCAGGTCCTTTACATGTCTTGGGGTAATGACCAGTCTCCCTTACAAAATTAAGGATAAACCCTAAATCAGTAATCCCCAAACCCTAAACGTTCAATCTTCGATTCAATCCCCTTCTTTCTGGTTTAAGAAGAACCCTAAAGCATACGATGACGTTCCTTTGATGAAATTGACGTTCAATTTGTTTCTGCATCTTCACTGAGCAACGTGGAAGCAAGTTTCTTCAGACGACGTCGTTTCCCCTCCAACGTGGCAGTGACCATGCCCATTAACGTTACACATCAGCTCCGCCAATGACGTCGTGTGTCACTACAAGAAAAAAGTTTATTTGTGACAAAAATTTTCGTCACAAATGACAATTTTCGACACAAATAATCAAATTTCGTCACAAATAAATTTGCGACTCAGGAATTTGTGACGAAATTTCATATGTAGTGACGAAATTTGCGACACTAATAAGATTTTTTCTTGTAGTGTGTTTTGGATTAACAGAAGGATTAATGTGGGACCTATTTGTGTTTGTTGGGGACTTTCCAGCTAATTTATTTTTATTAGGGACTAAAATGGGTACCGAATTTATTGTGAGGGACCAATTTGGATATTTACTCTTTAATATAATTATCTTAGTTTTACTAACATTATTACTTTTATTTAATTAAAACATTACATGTTTAACATTGTAGTATATATATATATACACCATGATTTATAAATGATAGCATAAAAATTAACGAGTAATACATGTACGAGAAGTAATTATTTTATGGAATGCAAACACCATAGTTATGTATTATAAAATGTTAATGAATATGTGTACAATGCTTAAAAGAAAGGAGCATCATGGATATTATAACATAATGGGGTCAGTGTAGTAAACCTATGATTTGTTATTTCATTTCAGTCCACATGAAAATATTTATTTAAGTAATACTGGCACAATAGGTTTGTATAAAATTTGTACCCAAAGCAATAAAGCAAAACAAAGACAAAAGAGTAAGGTACAACTTATATAACAACTAACTTGAGTTTGTCGGTTTACAACCTATAACTGGCAAGTTATATAAGAATTTATTGTTAATCAATGGAGTAGACTATGACTACATTTAAAGCCTACCGAGTATAAAGAAAGGGCTTTATTAATCTTATGCAATAAGAGATAGCTTTCTTATGTTGTAGAGATAATTATGTGTGGAATTACTACCAACAGGAACCCACTCATTTATAAAAAAAGATAAAAAAAATAACACAAAAATCAATGTATGTGTAAAAAATAAAAATATTTTCTTACAACATAAGAATATATTTTTCCATAAATAAATATGATAAAAAGCAAATGAAAAGTGCAGCAGTAAACATAAGATAGTAAGTGCAGCAGTAAACATAAGATAGTCCATAATATAGGTGAGTGAATAGTGCATGGAAATTTCGAAAGTTCCAACCAACCAAAAACTGTATTGATTTTTTTCTAGATAAACGATGAACCAGGGAATAAGTATAATAGCAGAGAAAGGGTATTAAAACAGCAGAGAAGGGATATATTCTCTCAGAGTTACCTTAAAGTAGTTTTTTCCCTTTCAACTATTGTCTCTATCACCGATATCTTCTTTTTCTTCTTTTTTGGTAAACACCGATATCCTCTTTTTTCTTACTCACCTCAAGTACAATCTGTTCTTTTTATAGAGAACTCAAATACCTCCATCTTTATCTAACACGGAACATGTGACATATTATGTGGTTAGGAACTAACTTAAAGCTAAAATATCCTGAATAATAACCTCTAAAAGTGTTATCATTTATCATATTTATTTTCATATATATATATATATATATATATATATATATATATATATATATATATATTAACTTGTTTTAAATTATTGTCTTTTATATATCATTATTATTACTATTATAAATTCTAGATCATATTATTATTTTTTGGTAAACTCTACGTCATATTATTTATTAATATATTCATTATTATTATTATTTTCCTAACTATATATTTTAATATTACTAACATCTATTATTTTATTATTATATCCATTTATTAGAGATTTTTATTTATTTATATTTTATTTATTTTATTTTTTGAATTTACTATGTATGGGTAATTTTATGAACAATTATCATACTTTGTAATATTTCAAAATTAATTTTTATTTAAATATATATATATATATATATATATATATATATAGAGAGAGAGAGAGGAAGGTTATACTTACAACCTTTTTTTTACAACCTCTTACAACCATATATCATAACCGTTAGTTTCCGCCAATCAACGGTTCTCATTTATTATGAATTAATAATTAATTAATGAGTTTAATTTGTCAAAATCATAACCGTTGATTGGCGGAAATCAACGGTTATGAAATATGATTGTAAGAGGTTGTAAAAAAAAAGATTGTAACTATAACCCCTCCCATATATATATATATATATATATATATATATATATATATATATATATATATATATATATATATTGTATTTATTTTTCTAAATGCTTAGGATGTTAAACCATCACCCCCACAACCACCATTACCATTACCACCCCACCGCCGCCACCACCACCATCACACCGCCACCAGCACCAAACACCACCATTATCGCTGCAGCTACTGCCGTTACAACCACCACCATGCCATCGCCACTACCATCACCACACCACCGCCACTAGGGGTGTTAACGAGCCGAGTCGAGCAGAACTTTGGTCTTAAAAGGCTTAGCATGTGTTTAAATGTGTCACCCTGATCAAACCTGTTACCTGTTATGAATATAATTATCGGCCTGTGGCCTGACTTATTTACAAAAAATGAAAACCTGATTTAGCATGTTTAAAAAAAAAAGACAATTTTTTTTATCCAAACAGAATGTACAATCAACAACATTAGTACCATAAATATTCATAAATTAAATGTATATCCAAACATCATAATATAGAAAAAAAATCATTCAAAAAGTATGTTTAACCAATAAACTGGGATAAAATGGATTGAGGAGAGAGATAGAAGACTAGTACAAGTAGTATAAAAAATATGAAATTAAAATTAAAATGTATATACTAGGCCAGTCTGAGAGTCTCTAAGGCTGAGCTTTTGAATTGAAGCTTGAGGTTTTTTTATTAAACGAGTTTTTATATAAGTTCAAGCCTAGTTCAAACAATCAATTTTAGGCATGTAAGCTCAAGCTTTCACGAGCCGAGCCAAAGGCCCCTATTCGTTTATCACCCGTAATCGCCACTGCCATCACCACCATGCCACTGTTACTGCTGCCTCCGCCTCCATGTCACCGCCACCATCATCACCATTGCCTCCACCACCACCATGCCATCATCACCACAAGTATCATTACCATGCCACCACTACCATCGCCACCATTACCACCATCATGCCGTCGTGCCGCAACCACCACCATCATGTCACAACCACTACCGTCACACCATATGAAAAAGAAAGTGATGATCCGAAAAAATTTATTCTTAATAGAAATAATTTTTTATTCTATTATTTGTTGTGTTATCAAACGCAACTTTCATTCTCGAAATAAAAATAGAACATGTTATCTAACACATTTTTTTCTCAGAAATTGTTTCAAGACACAAAAATAAAAAAGATTTATTTCTTTTCAAAAATAATGACAGATTTAACATAATGATTATCATGCACACCTTAAAAGTGTATATACACAAGGAAGAATCAAATATTCACTATAAAAAGTCTATAGATGGATTTTTTTTTCTTTTGGTCTAATTTATATAATAACTAAAAATTTTAGTTGAATTTATACGAAAAAGAAAAATCCAACCAAGATCATCTACCAATAAGAAAGTTCTGCGTACCAATGTGCAATAGTAATAGGGTTTTATAAGAGTTATGTTCTAGGAAAAGTGATTGTGTAATATTATAGAGATTCGTTTTGCGTGCCGTAATTTTTATTTTTTTTTGTTTCAAAAAGTGTGAGCTTCACAAAATATTATGTGTATAAAAAACTTTGTTGTGTCATATTAAATGATAAATGCAAATTCGATACTAATATAGAGAGAATTCGCAATATTAACAAGAAGTCAACTTATGAAATCATCTTCAGCACATGAGCATAATGTTAGGGCTTCCTTTTACGTTTTTGGACAACTCAACGCTAGCGCTCCTGGTGGTCCATAAACTGGTTCGCAGGGGTAAAATCGTTATGATCGGCTCCAAAGCACGGATGTGATTCTGTGAAAAATTTACATGTTGGACACGTGTTCGATACGGACACGCTCGGATAGCCGTTTGACACGCGATCAATATTTGGAGACACGTGGTCAATGCTTGGACACATTTTTTCGACACGCAGTCAACTTTTTTCAACACGCGGTCAACGCTCGGACACGTTTTTTTATTTTTAAATCTTAATTTTATTTTGTTAACTAAATATAAAAGAAATGATTTATAAATTATTTTTTTTCAGTTATGAAATTTGACATGAAAAATTAACAAAGTACGAAAAATTATTTATATTTATATTTATGTCATAAAATTTAAATATTTAATTGGTTATATGACTTATGATGGACTCTTATACGTATTAAATATAAATTATATTACATATATTAAAAAATTTATTAACCCCCAAGGGTAGCTCAAGGGATTGCTTGGGGATCAAGCAGTTTCTTGGAAAATCTTTGGAGGCCAGAGGATAAGTCAAAAAATATTCTGTTGGGGGATTAGCCTCGTCCTTTCTCTGGTTGCGAAGCTTAGTGCACCCACTGTTACAATAAGAGGCTAGCCCAAACGGGCCGTATCCCGATGGCATGGTGCCCGGAGAAGGTTGAATAGGGATACCTCCTGGCAATGTACCAAAAAAAAATTATGACAAGTCGAAATATGACATTTTTTTAGAATTAACGTGTCGGCGTGTCGTGTCCCGTGTCCGTGCACCATAGATAAACGGTTACGAAACTCGGCAGACCCGGTCCGGTTTTTTCCTCCGGTTCGCTCCCCTAAAAATTGATTCTAGTTCTCTTTATTTTTCCATTTCGGGTTGGAGTTTTTGGGAATCATAATCGGAAGGAGTATGTCGGTGAATCTGACGGCGAATGCGATTCCGGCAATAGTTGCCGGCGACGTGAACGCGAAGCCGTTGGTTCAGGTTCTGGACATTGCGTTGATCTCCAATAACAATATTTCAGAGAAGCAGAGATATCGTCTTCTGCTATCCGACGCCGTTTCGAGTCACCACGCGATGCTCGCCACTCAGCTCAACGACCGAGTCCGAACAGGCCGAGTTAAGAAAGGTTCCGTTGTTCAGCTTCTCGACTATATATGCACTCCTCTCCAGAACCGCAAGTCTCTCTCTCTCTCTCTCTCTTAAAATCTAATTTTGTATTAGAGTTAAATTCTGCAATTATTGTTATCAAAAAAAAAAAAAAAATTCTGCAATTATAGTCAAATTAAGATTGTTTCGATTGTGAATTTTTATTATAATTTCACTTTTAATGTCATTCGAATTTTAATCTGGTTGGAATGTTGTAGAACTATTCTTCTTCCTTCTGGAAGCAAAACTTTAAACCTTCTAGAAGATACATTTTCCGTGCAAGAAATCTTAGGCACTTGTATTCCCTGATAATTCAGAAATAATTGTTAATTTTAGCTTCTTGTGTCCCTTGTGTGAATGGTTAGTGTAAGAATTGAAGATATGCAACCTCGTTGAAGATTTGCAAAATCTTACCATTGGTTGTTTAAGTGTTTGCATATAGATGGATACTAAAGAGTCAAAAACGTGTTGCAGATGGAATTTAGCATCGTCAACTTTAGGTTTATCCTATAAAATTAATTTATGTACTTATGTGTCTGTTTGTCCTTGTACAGGATTATTGTGGTGCTCAACATGGAAACTATAATACCTGATTGCGAGATCATTGGGAATCCGAAGTCATTTATGGATTCTGATTTACCAACTCAGAGAGTATTGCCTGATAACACTGTGGAGAATTCGTCGAGGAGAAATAATAATAATTTGGCTGCTCAAAATGCAAGTGATAATGTGCAGAATTTCAGGCCAACTGTTCAACCTCCGTACCAACCACCTCCGGTTTACAAAAGCCGTGGTGCGATTGTGAAGAATGAGGCACCTGCACGGGTCATTCCTATAGCTGCTTTGAATCCTTATCAAGGTCGATGGGCCATCAAGGCTAGGGTAACTGCTAAAGGGGATCTGCGCCGTTATAATAATGCTCGTGGAGATGGGAAAGTCTTCTCATTCGATCTCCTTGATTCTGATGGAGGTGAAATTCGAGTAACCTGCTTTAATGCTGTTGTTGATCGCTTTTATGATGCGATTGAGGTTGGTAAAGTTTACTTGATATCCAAAGGTAGCTTGAAACCTGCACAGAAGAATTTCAATCATTTGAAGAATGAATGGGAGATTCTTTTGGATTCAACTTCTACGGTTGAGCTTTGCCCAGATGAGGATGGTTCTATACCTAAACAGCAGTTCTCCTTCAGGCCTATCAGTGAGATAGAGAATGTTGACAGTAACTCCATCCTCGATATTATTGGGGTAGTGACATCTGTGAATCCTTCAGTGCCCATCTTGAGGAAGAATGGAATGGAAACTCAGAGAAGAATTTTGAATCTAAAGGACAGTTCTGGCAGGAGTGTTGAGCTAACACTTTGGGGCGAATTCTGCAACAGGGAAGGACAAAAGCTGCAAGAGATGGTCGATACTGGGTTTTTCCCCATTTTGGCAGTCAAAGCTGGGAAGGTTAATGACTTTAGTGGAAAGTCTATAAGCTCTATTTCTACTACACAGCTTTTCATGAATCCAGATATCCCTGAGGCTCATAGCTTAAGAGACTGGTTTGATCAAGTGGGAAAAGATTCTGCTTCTCTATCCATTTCTAAGGACATTATCCCTGGAGGACCAAAGAATGAGATACGCAAAACTGTGTCTCAGATCAAGGATGAAGGTCTGGGGCGGTCAGACAAGCCAGACTGGATAACAGTGAGGGCAACCATATCATTCATCAAGACGGATACATTTTGTTATACAGCTTGCCCTCTGATGATTGGAGATCGACAGTGCAATAAGAAAGTGACTAGGTCAGGAAACACGAGATGGCAATGTGATAGATGCAACCAAGAGTTTGAGGAGTGTGATTACCGATACCTTCTTCAAGCTCAAATTCTGGATCATACTGGAATAACTTGGGTAACTGCATTCCAGGAAGCAGGGGAAGAGATTATGGGGTACTCATCAAAGGAGCTGTACTTGTTGAAGTATGAACAGCAGGATGATGAAAGGTTTGGAGAAATAATCAAGAGTAGACTCTTCAACCATTTTGTATTTAGGCTGAAAATCAAAGAGGAGTTATATGGAGATGAGCAGAAGGTGAAGATTACAGTAGTCAAGGCAGATAAGGTGAATTATTCTTCAGAGAGTGGATACATGCTTGATTTGATTTCCAAGTTTAGGCAGTAATTGTTGCGAGGTTTCAGCATCTTTTCATGCGACGAGCCATAACTGTTAGTAACTCCGTATTCTAGTGTACAAGCTATCATATAATCGGTCATTGGTGGTTATGAGTTACTGCGTCATTTCTATGCCCATTGTAAAACATATATATATATTTTTTTTTGATAACATGTAAAACATATATTTAGATACCGCTAATTCAAGTTCGAATTCTGTGTTTCTTTTTTTATGGATATGCCGTCATATCACATATGAACACCTATAATATTTTGAAATGAGCATTTACACAGGACATTTCATTGCTCCCAGTGGTAGTTCACATCTCTAAGTTATCACACTATTGTCGATGTATGAGCTATTATTCTGCTACTATCTGTTCCATTCTAATATTCTGTCAGCAGTTTTTATACTTAATATTCCAGAAAGCTCTATTGAGTTGGATTATTTCAAAAAGTAATCTATCATGGGTCTGCTTGTTAATTTCGTTTCCATGCTGCAGAAACATGTAATTAATCTGTTTCTATGATGTGCCAAAACGAAAATTACATTTTAAGAATTGAAAAGCTTATGCTCCAATGGATCTTAAGAGTCATATATTAGTACAAACAAAAGATAGTTCAGTTCATTACTGAAGAACATTACTGATACATATCATGACAAGAGAAACTCTAAACACCCCTCAGCGCCTCAGAATTTCATCAACTTCGCTTGACTGGATCGAAATTGGCGACACCAACCACGGCACCAACAATGACGGCAAGAACAACTCCACCAGCCACGATGCTGAGCAAGAAGTTCTTGAGAGAAGGTGAAACAGCAGCTTCAGCCACATCAGGAACCATCATTGAAGCTGTCAACGCAGCTGCTGTGAGCCCTGTCACAACTTTCTCCTTCATGGAGGCCCTGACTTGAAAACTTTCGTTGGATTTTGATGCTGCCACAGCCTTTGAAAACCGTAGAGGCAGTGGCTTGAAGAATGCCTCAGAGCTAGGGACCACCCTCTTCTGATTGCTGTAAGTTAGTGGCATAGCCATTGAAACTGCTGTAGTGGAAGCCATTCCTTTTTTATGGGTTCTTTCTTCTTTCCCTGCTAGTTGTTTACTTGCTTGAAGTTTATGTGAAGAGTGAGGAAATGGGTTTGGTGTGTTATTTGTTTTTGAGAGAAACTCTGGTGGAGGCTGGAGTCGATGATAGGTGGAAATTTTGGGCATATTTGCCTGTATCTGATGTGGCAGCTTCCCCATTGGAAATTGATGGATAAGGTTATCTTGTTGGTCCAATCATCACCCATTATGCTGAAATTTTAGTCTGAGGTCCTCAATAATTTCCCTCAATTGGGTCTTTCTTTACCGTGTGTACTGTGTTTTTCTGGGCTTAAACGATACAGGTATTGAAATTTCACAAAATCATACTTTTTTGTCTTTTAATTTTTCTTCGAATTTATTTTTTTCTATATTTATACTTTATTTCATTTTCGCCTCAATTTTTTTTTTTTTTCAAAATATACCTAATTCATTTTAAAGATAGACAGTCTATGTGGCTTTAAATGCACAATTGAATATTTTTCGAGCCTTCATGAACAAACTAAACAAGTGGTTCAACCTATGAAATGACACTGATTTCCATTTGTATAGAGTTAAATCTTTTTCAGAATTACTAAATTTATCCCAATCACAAACGTTCAAAAGTTCTGATTGGAGAAAGTACGATGCCAATCGGCAAGTAAGCTAATGTTAGTACATTTCATTAGCATTTTTTATATTATTATTGTATAAGATTTGATGAGTTTAAAAAAGATTTGTAATAATATGCCGAATAAAGACTTAGAACAAAACTTAAAACAAAATAAAGAGAACAAAAATTAATTTTAGCTTTAACTTTATAAATATACGTAAAATAATATACTTGTGATTGAAACGGGTCATGTTTTCTAAAATGATCAAGAGTTTAAACTGGCCCTAGATCAATTAGATTTGGTCACATTCAAATAACAACCCGTACTTTGAAGCTGATTTGGATCAGAATAATCTGATCCAATAAACAAACCAGGCTAATAAATTCTAGGCCCCAAATTTGCAATATAAGTGGGACTGTAAAGGAACTTGATTGTTGAGGACCAACCACACCCAGAAAAAAAGGATAACATACTTATTCTTTTTTCTCCTTCCTTTAAAAAATTTATAAATGAAGGTTTCATTCAAGATTTCCTTCCTTTCAGGTGTGTAAATTGTTCTGTTAGCCTATAGGCCATAAATTACAAGTTTGATCTGACTTATATTTAAAAAATAAAATTTTTGACTAAGACCTATTAGCTAGTTTAAGCCTATTAAACCTTCAACAATTAAAAGAATAACTAAACTAATATTACTTTATTATTCAAAATTATTAAAATAATAATTTTTTTATTTTATTTAAAATAAATAATATGATATAGGCCGGCCTGTAAGTTTATAGACCCGACATGTACAAAAAAGCCTATGGCCTATTTTCTAAATAGATTTTTTTTTAAAATCTATTACTGTTCTATTTTATTATTTGCAATAGGCCAAATCTAACATGATATAAGTTAAGTTATAGGCTCCTGTAAGCTGACCTAACCCATTTACACTGAGACTTCCTCTTCATAAAGTATGAGTCTAGCAGTTCTACCTATCATAATACTCGCAAAGTGCTAATATAATTACTAGTCCATAAACACTACCTATTATTGTGAATATTTGCTTCCCAAAAATAGCTTTTGTTAGCTGTCAGAATAATGTATTAGTATTACATTATGTCACATACATATATGGATGAATTAGTAAGGAGTTATTCCATCTTTGTTAAAGAATATTTTTATCGAAAATATTTATTTTTATCTTATCTAGTATTATACAATGAATTACCCAACACTAGATAATCTTATATTATTTTATACAATATCATGTCAAATGCTAAATAGTATTAAAATTCAATCAAATCTTATACAATCAGATTTTATACTAACAAATTTTATCTTATTATATTATACACCAAACATGCCCTAAATCCCTAGGAATATAATTGCATTAAAATTTAGCAGAGAGAATTTTGTCGTCCATGTGCTCCTATTTGGCTTGAATCGGATATACCTATGAAAAAAAGAAGCTACAATTTCCAAATTGGTTGCAGTGGCACTCTTATAGTTGCTGCTTCTCTGTAACTGACATGAATTTTATCAGTAGCATACAGACGCATTTTCATTTTGCTTACATCCTCATTAACTCAATCTTTTACTATTATCTTTTACTATTTCATCTCTGAAATCAATAATTTAACGAAAATTGTTACTTTACAAAATTATGTACATGCAAATCAACAGTAATTAAGTAGATCCGTAAACCAGATTTCTGATATAATGCTCTTAACGAGCCTCTACTTGCAATGACATAACTTCCAAAAAGATATTATAGTATCATTTTAACATTTCACTTGGGATGTTGGACATAAAAGTCTAACGGAATCTTCTTATATTGATTGATAATGAGCTAAGTTAATAAATCTTCCTAATTAACGATATAGACTTTACTTAATTCCATTACGTACCAACCAACATGAAACTATTTTTTTTATAACCCAATTCCAAGTAATTTATGTATATTTTTTTTCCCACACGCCACGCTAGTTGACAGCTAAACCAACTTCTCTATATTTCCTCTAATCTTCCTGAAAACGGCTTTTCTAAAGTTATCATTGAATATTAATAAATGTAATTGACCACTTCACCGTATATATTAAGTTTCAAATAACGTAACTAGCAACTTGGAATTTTTAAACGGAAAAAGAATTTTTGTTCGAAATTAAATACTTCTATTTTTAAGTATTATTAAGATAAAATTATTTTAAAACGAGTAAGTAAATACCAATTTAAAATATATAACGATATTGACTCACTAAAATTTAAGGTATATACACTTTCATTCACTTTGGAGACAAATCTACTTTAGAGAAACTTTTTCTTACTAGGTACTCAATTTCAAAATAATTTCCCTTTGATATTTTGCATAAGAATTAAAATAATAATTAAAAAATTTTATTCTATAAAAATATAACTACATTTGACTAAATTATGGATTCTTTTTATATGTCATCGTTATTTTTTATTTCACTTAATAGAAGTATAAAAGCCACAAAGATAAAATTAAAAAATAATTAATATTTCTTTGATTTTTATAATAACCAAAAAATTGAAATAAATTAAAACTTATAAAGTGATAGTTATTTTTAAAATATTCCCAATATTTTTCTTCCAACACCTTCTCCAGTTTAGCAACTACTATTATCATTGCTATCGTATCCATCTCTTCCTCAATAGATAATATTTTCGTATATACTACCTCCTTCGTTTTTGTGATTTTTCTTTTTAAATTTCTTCATTGATTCATTAAAAACTCGAGTTCTTTCAAACCTATATAAGGAGTGACTCTCTCTAGATCATATTATCCATTTTCATGGCTCCAACTTCTGTATTGTTGGGTCAATGTTCATTTCTATCTTCATCGCAATGGTTTTGGTTCTTAATCTTTGTACTTCATATTGGCTTTTGTTTCTAGCTACAAAATTTTTTAATTTCTCGTCCTAGACCTGAATTCAACTCATACTGAGACTATAATTATGTAGCCTGTCCCTTCAAGAAGGTCCATGAGTTCATTTGAGTTGGGTGAATCCCAACATGTTGAGCGGGTTCCTTTCTCTTGGTCTCATGTTACCTCATTAAATGCAGGGAGTAATTTAAGTATAAAATCTAAGTATTGTTATATTTATTATGTTTCCAAAATATATATAGTTAGTACGATACACGATACACATCGAGGGGTGAATCAAAAAGGGGATTGTATTGGACGATACGATTATTATATTGTATGATACTATACATGTTGTGTATCGTATGCGACAAAAGATTAAACCAAAATTTGTAAATTTTAATATATAAAAAAGAAATAAATATTTGACTTGTAATTTAAATTAAAAAAATCTAAAAAATTATTATTAACAAGGAAAAGAAAATAAAGATTACCCAATGGGTGCAGCTCAGTTGGTAATTTGGCGCTGAGTTAGTGGGGTTGGATATGTGTTCGATTCCCGCTGAATGCATTCTTGGGGAGTGGGCTGAACCTTTAGCCATCACTGTTCCCCCGCACTCCGGATTAGTCCCATAGCCGGCTCAAAGAGTCGAAGCTCGTGGGGATACTGGAGGGAGCCAACTCGTCTCAAAGAGATAATTAGGGTTGGGTAACTCCAAAAAAAAAATAAAAAAAAAAATAAAGATTTGATTTGTGATTCTTCAATCTTCAAAATAAATAAAAATAAATCAATAACAAAATTAATTCAAATTAAAGCAACAATAGATTGCGTAAACAAAAAGTAAAAAAAATGTCTTTTCAAAATTATATATTTTTAAATTATTTTTTATTATGTTTCTTATCTTGCAACTTGATATAATTATGATACATGATACATATTGCGATTCAACAACCTTAGTTATATTGTGTATTCTCGGTTAGGAATGTGACATAAATACTAAAGAGGAGGTGAATTGAGCATAACAAGATATTTCACAAAAGTTCCATTATTGATTCTAAATTAGCATATCGAATAAACTTTCATATATAATGATCATCAATATATTCAAACAAAACATGATAAACAATTTTTACATTTAAACAATGAGATATGTTATTCTACCTATATCTTTTTCTGCCTACCTTTGCCTATAAATCTCCAACACCATTAGATCAGAATCTCAACTACCTTTATCATTTCTCTCCTATTCAAATTCTGATTTAACTGTGTTGGAGAGTGGTAGGCAAATGTGGGTAGAAAAAAAGGTAAATAGAATAATATATCCCTTAAACAATTTATACTATCACATTTAAGATATTTAAGAAGTAAATAAAGTTCTATTAAATAGAGTTAAAGGTTTAGAAGAATGCAAACATTATTTATCCTGGTTTGACACCATCACTTGTGACCTACCTCAAGACTACAACCACTCAATATTTTTCTATTATTTCATCATCCTTCAAGTAGTGCTTCACTAACCGCTACAACTACTTAGTTTCTAGGTACTTGGTAACCTTACAACTTCCACCAAATTTACAGGTATTTGACAACCTTAACAAATCCTC